TGCACTTCCCATCTAGAGAGGTTGAGTGAACCACAGATCTATTCTGCTGGAGGATTGCTTGTCTCCTAGTGCTGCTAAGCCAATGCATTAATTCATCTTTCATTCCCAGCCCCCGAGGAAGAACAGTCCTTCACAGGTGACTAATACAAATGCACAACTCCAGAGATTAAAAAACATTGATTTTTGGGGTTTGAAAGTATCATTTATAGTCCTGTAGTATTGCAATGGAACTCCATGAGAGGCACTATCCATCTGCATGAAATATGTCTGACTTTTTTGATGATGCATTATTTAATGTCATGAATTAATTGCCATTTAATGTATACATTTTTAATTTGCATACAACAAAAAACAGCAACCAGAGGCTCCCTGCTTCCTGCAGCATGAAATCCTAAAAAAGCATAGCTAATTAAACTCTTCCAAGCTTTTGATTTATTTCTGAAGCCCAATTCTGTTTTGCTACATCACCACGACTTGTGTAATAGTTGGACAACTTGACAATTCGACACCTCTGCAACTGTCAGCTCATCTGGTTTAAACACCCAAAGTTCAGCCATCTCTTCAACTAATCTGAAAGATGAGGAGTAAGAAAATTTAGCTTAATAGTTTAAAATTCTTTGTGCGTTTGCTGGCGTTAATGTTCACTGCTCCTACCCGCAGCTTGGCAAAGCAGCAGTTGCTGGTAAGGTGTGTTTTCAATACACTGAACATTGTCTGGAAATAGCACTTCTACACAGCTGAGGTGCCTGAGCACCAGTCTCGCCACCAGCGCCTTACATCAGCAGTCAGCGTCAGTGAGAGTGTTTTTATATTTATCCCAAGCAAATTGAACAGTCACAGCCAGTAAGTCCTTCCTCGTCAGTCCTGGACACAGTACAGCGAACAGGCACGTGGTGCTTCCTGATTTCAGCCTTAAACTAGCCCTAGTTTAACGAAGGGGCTATCATTGCTACGTGTGCAGCTGTCCTTGTGTCGATGTGCTTGAGAGAGCCCCAGGATGTTTCACGAATGAGGCAGGGGCTTGAAAAGATCCCGGGTTTGCTTCTTGGCAGATCTTTCCATGCTGTGCTGGGTTTGGGGGTCCCACTGCCGATATTTTTTGAGTCGTACTCCTCCAGCACCCCACTGAAAAATGGGCTCTGGGGACATTGTGGATGTTGGGGAGAAAACTCCACCACGTGCCGCTGTGATCTTCTGAAAGCTGAGAGCTAGCACCCACCTTGATCGGCGCTTCTGTTTTCGCCTGAATGGTAAAGTGCCTTGTTGCGGTGGAGAGGATTGCAGGCTTTGAGACCACTGCGCCCTTCATCCCCCCATCCTCTTCACTTCGAACCTGTATTAAACCACAGACCACGGCTGACGAGGGGGAGAGGGGGGACCATAACCAGGGTGGCTGAGCTCCAAGCATCAGGTGTCTGGGAGAGCTGAATAATGCTTGCTTGCGGCGTTGAACTACGCTCCTGTGTAGTGTGGGTATGTTTTTATCTGGCTCTCCAGTGCCGTGTGCTGCCTCTGTAGCTGTTCTGGCTGACCCATCGCGTCCGGCAGACACTGTCAATGTTTTAAATTCCAGGCACGATCTGATTTCTGTAAAATCTCCCCACCACACATGCTATCTCACAATAGCACTCTATCCGTGCCCTCACATGAAGATCATTCTCTAACTGCATTTTGATTCGTACTTTTGAGCGACCTTGATGTTTATGGCACATGCACCTGCCTCTGTCCCAGAGAGTCTTAAGGCCCTTCAAGGGCTAATTGCTTCAACCAAAGATCCACATACACATACACATATACAGTATGTGAATTGATGCACTGTACATCATACCCAAAAGCTTTTGGGTTCAAATCACAGGTGCAGCACTGCTGTTGTTACCTGCATACAGTGCTTAATTCAGATTGCTCCAGAAAAATACCCAGCAGTATAAATGACTAAAATTCTAAGTTGCTTTGGATTAATGCATCTGTCAAATCAATTCATAAGACGTGTTAGTAACATATTGCCCTGTCCTTTTTGGAAAGCCTATAGAAATGATCAATAAATAATAAATGCTGTGCACAGTTGTGAGTACAAGGGACTTTTCCATTACTGCACTGCCAGTCTCCAGAGAGCATGCAGTGCTCAGAGTATCCCTCTGTCAGCATGCTGTCTTCTCATTGACAAACCTGAGTTCAGAGATGGGAGTGACTAGAATAACTCTTGTGAGAGGCTCACAGGCTAAAGGAACAGAATCCCCCCTTATTCCTGGATCCCTGGAACAGACCAAATTTAAATTCCAACCTTGGGGACACATTCAGGCTGTACCATCATTCCGGATCCCGAGGACAGAATTGGAAATTAAGAGCAGGTGCATGTTGGTCTAAAAATAAGCACTACGGCTTTTACAGAAGGAGTCGTGGGGTGTCTGGAAGAAAACGCCTGAACCTGCTGTGGAAAACTGGCTGACTGGGGCAATTCCAAAAATAGCCGGGTGAGACCACAGGATTGATTAGCTATGGATTGACCAATCGAAGAAGGTGGGTTAAACAGACCCCACTTGCTTTGGAAGCATTTCTTACATTCCTATGTCCTGCATTCACCAAGGAGCACCAGGAGACTCTCAGGCCATGTGAGGCTAGTGAGAAAGAGGATAGATCTGTATGGTGCCTGAGTCTCATTGTATCTCATGGCCATCCACAGATCCCTTCTTTTGAGGAGCACATCAGGGATTTGTAAAAAAGTGGCAGAGGGCAAAACAAGACCCTGACCGGCATGCAGATTAGTTCATCTGTGCAAGCAAGCTTATTTTTTTGTTCTAATTGATCTGTTGCTAATGAGGAGAAAACTTTTATACTGATAAAATGAGCATTTTCAATTGGGCATTAAGCTTCATATTGGACAGAATCGATTCTCAGTTAATGAGAACAAATGAGCAAAGGACACTTGGTCCATCTGCTGTGTGGTCACATGGTTGTTAGGAGCTAATTTATTCCAGGAGGTATACGAGGGGATTCTTTTAGGATTCAAAGGTATCAGTAGTACCAGCAGCACCAAGCAACAAATCCTTTCCATCCAGCCCTTTGCAGAGGAAAGCAAGGGTCATACAATATATTGTCTATTTTCAGTCTCCAAACACTTGAGCTCTAAGTACTGTGTGTTCTGTAGGTGTGTAACAATTTAATGAGCTGATGAGGAATGACCCCTTTCTAGCAGAACGTCACTACACTGGCATCCAGGCTCAGTAATTTCCGGTCGTAATCGGGCGACAAAGGAAGGGGTGGCTGGGACTTATTTTCTGGTTGATAAACAGGGGCTCAGAGGGTTTCCACAAGGGTAAATAAAAGCCGCTACGCTTCATTGAGAGACAGTCATTTCTGAATAAGGACATAGATAGATATCCTTTAGGTCATCTAAACAGTGGAAACAATATAAACTGCTTTTGGTATGAAAAATACAGACAAACCCACTGCTAAGCCTTAGCAGATGTAAATGCATTTGTGCTCTTTTCATGATCCCGTGTTGTTGACAAACTGGACATTTCCTCTATAAGCTTTGCCTCTGGGGCGGTCTTTCAGTCACACGCACCTGCCTTCATCCTCTGTCTGCCTCGCGCACACTATTAACTGCAGGACTCGAGGATTTCATGACGCACACACGAATACATGAGCGAATTAACAACCATCACATTCCACACTCCTGTCCCAGGTACAGCTTACCGTCTCTTCCAGTTCTTCGGGGCAGGTGCTTTCAAAACTGAGACAAGCAGACGCTTATTTGCGCAAAGGGTTGCGGGAGTGTGGAGCCACACAACCGTGTTGTTGAAACGGCGGGGAGAGACCCCTGAATCAATTAGCTACTAGCAACCAAGCAATCTCCATGGGCCAAATGGCCTCCTCTCATTTTGCAAACAGTCTCATGCTCTGTCGTTGTTCTTATGATGATACTTGCACGCCTCTTTGCTCTCTCTGTCTCTGTGTTACCTTCCTTACGGGGCTACTGGATTTACACCACCCTGTCTTGTAGTTTACATTACATTCTGTTTTTTTTTGCATTGCACTAACATGTTGGTGTTTTTGTTTTAAATGGCAACCCCCCCCCCCCATCCCCCTCACTGAGAGAAAAAAGCCATAAGCGTGATTCTGAGATATTGATAAGGCAGAGAGAGTGCCACACTGCTGCACTCCTCAGCCTACAGTGTGTGGGCTCCTCTCGGTGCTTCTGTGAGATGCCTGGTCTTGCTCAACCTGTAGCTGGGAGCTGTCTTCCACTGCCTTCAGCCCCCAGCACCCTACAGCTCCATACCTCCTCTCTCTGTCGGTCTCTCTGCGCTGCCTCTCTTCCCACAGCGTAAGCACAGAAACAGCACAACAACAACCGGCATTTCTCCCTCACTCCATACAGACAGTCTCCCCAGGAAGAGAGCCTGATTCTACTTAGTGCCTGAGAGCATCACTTTCCCCTGCAAAAACACGTCTCCTGACTCTCTTGTATCCTGGCTGTTGAAGGACTGGGATCGTCCCCCACTGCAAAATTGTTCTGCTGTGCCCTCTGCCTTCCCTTGGCTGAGAGCTCTTAATTCTTTCTCGTGAGCGCTCAGTCACCACCTTTGCAGTCAAAAACAGACAGAAGCAGCCCTTAGTGCTGGCGGCTGCCTTTCGCATCCCCTCCTTCCCACCCCACAGATAAAGCCAGGAGACCCGACGCCAGCCCGCGAAAACTAAGTCAAAAGCCCAGAGCCCCAGCTGACGCAGGTTGTGCTCTCTTCGCAAATTCACAACTCAAATGGTAAACTGATAAACGCGCCCGACCTTTTTTTCCGACAGCTACTCCAGCTTTCTTCCTAGTGCGAACAAAAATAATTCATAGTTAAGAGGGGGAAAAAAAGAGAGAGAGAGAGATCGAGCTGAAAGAAGACAACACAGCCCACCCTGGCAATAAGCAATCTGCAGGGCAGGCGAAGCCCCTGGCTGCAATGTTGAGTTAAGCCCATATATCAGTGACTGGTCAGCCAGTGTCTTACCTGTCTCTGTGGGGAGGTGTTCTCTATCCATTAGCTCGCTGAATATAACCATCCTTTCCTGCGGTCCACCAGTGAGAGGGACAGGGACTCACAGAGCCCCCTCTCCCCTGCTTGCCAGGTCATTCCAGCTCATCTCGGCTGCCTCAGCGTCTCAGCCTGCCTGCTCCGAGCAGGCAGAGAACGCCAGGGACAGAGACGCGCAGAGGAGCTCCTACATCCCTGGCCAGAGCCGGCGAACCCTGGGTCTCACTCAGCTGCTGCTGTCGCTGTGAAGTTTGTTCGTTTTTTTTTCTTTCGGTGCGTGTGTGTGAAAGAGAGAGAGAGAGCGAGTGTGACCGTACGCACGGAGCTCTCCTGGCTGTTCGAGCCAGCGGAGTTGCAGAAAGAGAGAGAGAGAGAGACCGAGAGGATGCTTTTCGCTCCTGCTTCGTCTGTCTGCATCGATCATGTCATGAAGTGGAGGAGGGAGTGTCTGAGCCTTCCCTTCCCCATGACCACAGACAGGTGAGGGTCCTGGGGGCAGGGGGCGAGGGGGAGGTTGTGCCCGAGCCGGGCTGAGGAGGCTTCACAAGTCTCTGGACGTCCCCTCTTCTCTGTCCGTGCAACTCATCCTCGGAGAGCGCCGCTGCCTTAGTGCAGGGGGTTATCAATCACACCCGGAGCAGGACGGAAGACAGCCGAAGGGTATCCGCTTTCCTCCTGTAAATCTCAGTAAGAAAGAAAGACCAAAACTGCCAACAGGAAAAGAGAAAAGTCAGCAGCCCAACCTGTCTGGTAAGAAAGCTTGGGCACGTGTTACCCTCAGTGTGAAGAGAGAAGTAAAACCAATCGGCCAAAAATACAAAAGAAAATCTGTTAAATGTTGAATGCGACGTACAGGAAGCATGCCAAGCATGTAGTCATCGTTGATTTTGTTTTTTTGTCTTTTTTTGCCCCCCAGAACGAGGATCTCTGGTTTGAAGCCCTGGTTTGGTAGAGAACCGCTGCTGGCTTGGCTGAGACTGAGATGGAAAAGAGAGAGAGAGGAAAAGAGAGAGGGAGCAAAATAGAGAGCCGTCCAGGCATACAGCCTAGAGTGATAAAGGACTGGGGACGTTCACTGAGGACAGGGAATGCATACTGAGCAGCCGTCCCCGCTCCGAGACGGAATGAAGCTGTTCTGTGTGCGACTGTGCCGCTTTAATGGCAGAGCCTCTCTGGGCACAGAATGTGTTACCAGGGAAATCCTTTTCAGGGTCTTGTTTACAGACGTTCCCTTTCACGCCCGCACCATGTAAGCGCACGCAGCGATCGCGCTCCACTCGAGCGAGCGCAGGGAGGCGAGGCGGCGGCCAATCCCGGCCCTCCCAGCCGGCGCGCGGCTGGCGCGCGGCGCGCGGGGCTGCCCGCTTTGTATGCGGGAGGGGACGCTCGCCGCGCGGCGCCTGGCTGACACCTCCCGCCTGACATGAAGTGGATGCTGTTCTCCCCCGGAATATAATGGAAACGCAGAGATCATTTAGCCCGAACTCTGCCTTAGTGTCCGAACAGTTGAGGGGCGATCTGGGAGGAGAAATATCAGCCATGGATGAATATTAGATTCCCATTAAACAGCAGTCTGAGCCATTTATGATTTTTGTAGGCGTCTTGTAAGGGTCTTGTGTATGAACTAGCCTGGTGGCTGTTTAATACCTTATTTCGAGTCAATCCGTGTGGAAGAGGATCTAACGTGATTGTTTTTCTGCCTTAGTGCAGTCTGTATGAAATGCAGCTCTTTAAACCTAAAGCTGCTCTATCTGCTGTAGAGTCTCACTTCAATCTCTGCCTTACAGGTGGGAATGTTGAAGGAGACTAGCAAAACCTCCGTTTTTCTGAACATTTTAGAGTGCAGGTGCTGGTATGCATACAGATTACACTCATCACAGGTATGCAAATAATATTGTTCACAGTGTTAACCCTACAATACCTGACCTCTACATATAAAGTTTTCACAATGTCATTTTCTAATCCAGTTAATGTACAGTATGTATTTTGTATTCTCACCTTAATGGTCTGAATCTTGGTTACATTTATAAAAGTGTATTTGCAACATCATAAATTGTAGCAATATGTATTTTTAAGACTCCAGCAGTAAAAGTTTGGCACTTTTTCAAAGCTCCTAGTGTTACAAAGTGCACCAAAGTGTTTTCCCTTTTCTGTTTAAAGTTTAAGTACACTTTTACAGGCAAGCTAGAAATCATACAGTATATGAAAATCTTTCAGGCTTCTGATACTTATACCATACTTTCCAGTGCCCTGTGTCAAAAGCCCTGTTTCAGAGCTGAGTGGAGGGAAATACTCAATTAATACTGCCTGGGAGACAGCCCTGTCTGGACATTGCACTGGGAGCAGGCTGTGAGAGCAGTCTGTCGCTCCTGCTTATGTTGAAGAGGTGCTGTGCGATGATGGGAGTTTTGGGGAACCCTGCACACCAGGCAGCGGGTCAGGACCCCGGAGGACGTGGGAATGGGGGGTGCTGAACTGCGGAAAGCAGGTGCAGACGGGAACTGAGTGTGACTGGGAACGGAACAGCGAAGGAAAGGGCGGGGCTCGAGTCTTCTTCTGTGATTGAGACGCTGTTCCGCTCTCTGGCCGGAGGGATTTCCTCAGAAAGATTCAATTAAGGTATTGAGGGCCTGAAAGCGACATAGATGCAGGGTTAATGAAGTGTTTGACCTCCTGCCTGCTGGGATGTCTCCTTGGTGATGAGGGCGGTACTCTGCTGTCCCCCTTCTGTGGTGCACACCCCAGGATAGGACGCAGCAGGCCAGAGAGCAATACGTCATTTCCAGATCTCCCCTACAGCAGGCCTGGGTTCCCCTTGCACCATGTTGCCAGAAGAGTTCTCCCTCCAATCCCTTGAAAAAGAAAATACAATGAGATCAGTGCTGACAAACAAGAGATACAGAGAAGTGGGACAGTTAATAATAATAATAATAATAATAATAATAATAATAATAATAATAATAATTCCTTACAATTATACAGCGCTTTTCTGGACACTCCACTCAAAGCGCTGTACAGGTAATAGGGACTCCCCTCCACCATCAGTCTGCTCCCCACACACCAGCTCTCAGTGGGGAGGAGAGCAGAGTGATGAAGCCATTTCAGAGATTTGGATTATTAGGAGGCCATGACTGGTAAACGCCAGGCGGAATTTGGCCAGGATGCCTGGGTAACACTCTTACTCTTTTCGAGAAACGCCCTGGGATTTTTAAAGACCACAGAGAGTCAGGTTTTACGTCTCATCCGCAGAATGGATGAGTACTTGTGGGCACGTGCTTTGGGGCAGTAGTAAAGGTTCTGAACTCCAGACAGGAGGGGTCATGGATTCATATTCCAGGAGGTGAATTCTTACCTCAGCCAGGAAATTGCACCAGCAATCCTAGATGGATGAATGGCTATCAAAAATGTGTTTGTAAAAAAAATAAGCAACCCTTTTGGTAGAAGCACCAGTCAGTTAAATTAATAATTATAGCAACAGTACCAGAGATGCCTTAAGTTAGACTTGCAAAGTGACCTGCAGCCAGTGATAGAAAAGGCCAGAACAGTTGAGCTCTAGGTCTAATGTTTTGCTTGAGATTTTGATATGTTTGCCATGTGGTTTCAGGCAGCCTGGCAAACTTAAACCTTTTCGCTTCTCATTAAAAGAACTTAGCATGATTTGGCATTTGTTTCCACCTGAAGGTGAAGACAGACATCAAATGTTAAAGATCACAGACACATATCTGCGACAAAACAACCTAATAAACTTGTTTTCTCCCTGCGCTCTGCGTATCTCTGCCAATTCCATTTAGGCTCAAACAGGACTGCTTTGATATTTCCATTTGGATATCCTGAGGCTTTGCTCTGCATGCTTATTTCAGAACCGTTTCTGGATATTCAGGTGTACATGGAAAAAAATATCTCCCTGATATTTTCCTTTCCCAGATTCTCTCAGAAAAATGCTGGTTGCAAACGAGCTCTCAGTTTATCAGAGGATGTGTAAAGTACTGTGGTCTGAGGAAGCTCAGCTGAAAGGTCCCAGTGATAAACATGCCTGAGGCATGCACATTATTCCCCACATAAAAAAAAACGAGTCACTTATAACATTTTTCTAGCAGATCCACTAATATTTTGTTGCACAGATATGGTACAGGCAAATTCATATAACATGCAGTAACATGTGGCCAGTGCTGAAAGCAATACAAGCTATACATCTGTGGCTCATGCTTTGCACCAGGCTGCAGATGGTGCCTTGTGAGACTGTCTCCCATTTATGTCGTGGAACCTGGATAAGCATGTGCCTGTTCACTGGTCTCTGAGCCCTAGCTCACATGTCCTCCCATACCATCCCACAAATGTGCACCGAGGCTCCGGTCTCGAGAGTAAGGCATCCACTGCATACCTGTCACATTCTCATCTCTCAAGAAAGCTGCTTGAGGACCTGTGTCAGGCTGCCATACCATTTTTACAAATGGAGATCTGTAGAGTATAGACAATCCTTCACTCCTTCACTCCAATGGATTGGTCTGTTGTACATGGTAACTCTGAACCAATCCTGCAAGACTCTTCCTGGTGTCCATCTGGGTGGTCTACATAAAAGCTTAACTCATCATTAAACAGGACATATATCAATGGCCTCAAGGTGTCCACGAATGAAGTTAAAATATACTGTTACAAGTTCATCATAAACAGTACTCAGCACAATAAACTGCATGGATAACTTTTCTTTTGTTCTTAATTCCAGGCTTGACATTTAATAGGTTGAATCTAATCACCTGTGCCCAATCAGCTCTCACTAATGAGGTAATTTTGCACTCATGCAACAATGTCACTTGAGTGTATCACAGTCAACATCAAGAAATTAATGACGCTAAAAAATGATGCGACAAAAACGCGATTTCCAAAATCAGTCTGTTTTATTTTATTAAAAACATCCACACATAAATAGAGTGACAAGTTTGTTTTGATGCTCTGTATATATAATGTCATGTGATAATCTCTCTAATTAGTTCTCAAAAGGAAATTAAGCAGAAAAAAAGCAGAAGAGGACTGATGAAAACCAATTTAGTCAAATATGCAGTTTTATCATAGTTTTATCTGATTTGCATTTGCCTTTTTAATAATGGCTTATCACTGATTAAGCCTTTTGCAAAATGGGGGAGGGGGTCAGTAACCTGACTTTTCAATTAGTCTGAATGAGTGAGCAATCAGCTCGTTGGCTTCACAGAATTCGTACAAATGAAACCCATAAAGCTCCTAAAACTTTACTATTGGAGCTCAGTGGGGCAAATCTATGCACAGTAGATGTCACCTGTTAGACTCTGCTAATTGGTGCGGTGCTCTGAACTGAAGGGAGTTAACTCTCAGAGAGGCCAGATGTCTGTTTTGTTGAGTTTTCCCGGCTAATAGCGTAAGTATGTCAGTGCTTAATAAGGTACCCTTCCTCTGGAATCCATACGATGCAAATGCCTGTCCTTTGCAAAAAAAAAAATCTTCATAAGTAATATCCTGGGGAGATACAGACACGAAATTAAATACAATTTGCTTCAGTCAGACAACATAATCTAGTTAATACCAGTTTCCTAGATAGGAAGTCAGTGTTCTGTCTCTCTCTCTCTTCTAAAAATGCCTTGAAATTTAATCTGTTCTGTAAATTCACGGTTACCTCTTCAGTGTGAACGAGACCTTATTTTAAAGGCCATAGGGCGGATTTCGCCGGGAGTAAAGGCATTTAACAAATAGAAGAAAAAGGCAAAGGGGAGGGTGGGCTGCTTCTTCAGTGGTGTTTGCTTAACTGAGCTCTACGTCCAGGACATTTGAAGATCTCCTTTATAAGGGGCGGGGGGGCTGCAACTAGCAGGAGAACGCAGGGCTCTTGAGTCTAAGAGCTGAAGAAGTGGCCAAAATGTGAGCGGGGGAGGTCATTCCTGCCCGGGCTGCTGCTGAAAGAGATCCGCTTGCCAGGGCAGCAGGGGGCACAGCTGGATGGGAGAGTGAGGCTCGCAAAGGGGGTAGGCAGAGTGGAGAGACGTAGAGAACAGACACCTGGGAGCTGGAGAGCTCGGATTGAGAGCAAGCAGAATGAGGGGATGTGGGGGGTTTGGTTTTGTGTACCCAGGGCTTCAGTGTACTTTCCTCTTGGCCAAACCCTCTTGGGCATCCTGAGCGTACTGCTGAATCATTGTCTTATTTTTTTTTTTTCAATGCATTGATCTGTTAAAGTTGCAAAGCAGTCAGTTTCCTTTGGAAGGCAGCGTAGCCTGCTATTCCTAGGGCAATAAAACCCTGCTTTAAGGCCATTTCCCTGGCTGTTGAATTGTGGATCAATGAGCTCATTCCCGCATTTAACCATCACCGGGTTTTCCTTCTCCTGGCCTTTGTGTCATGGATTACGTCCAGGACCTGATTACCTTTATCATGGGAATATGGAAAACAGGTCCTGATAATCAATACTATTTAAAACCGGAGTCTCATCCCCATTTCCTGGAGGGACTTGTACTGTATCTTTTGGTTGTCTTTCAACCTGAGTAGTCCATTAAACAATTAAACAAATTATTTTCGAATTGAGACAAATGTAAATTGTTTCCTTAGGTTGCCTTGTATAGTTGATTACATTAGATATTCATTTCCACCCAGTACCCACAGTATAACACACCTCAGAGCCTGCTTAGAAATGGTGCAGTTATGCAGCTAATTAAATAATAATGTAACGGATAATGTGGTTGGGGAAAAAAAAAAACAGAAGACACTAGGCCCTCCAGGAACTGGATTTGAGACCCCTGATTTAGAATTAGGGTGTACATAAACAATAAAAACAGAACCAGTGGTTACGAACTACGGGAAATATACAGTACAAATTCATAACTCTGATCCGCTTCACTGTGTTAGAAACAGACCGTCTAGAAGGGACTTAATTCTGCCTCACAAATATTTCACTGAGGCAGCCAGCTTTGCAAACTGTTTTGCTTTTAGTAGAGCTTGTGATTTGGTAAATGTGGGTGGAAGATAAACCCCAGTCAATCCTCTGTCCCTACTAACATGGCCTCCCCATGGCCTTCTCATGCTCCTTCATGCCTAAAAACACCCCATTGATCTCTCGTGGTAGAGTCCAGACTCCCCAG